GTGAGAGCTGCTCCCACCCGCGCCTGGTGGAGCGGAGCCTGCAAGGATGGGGACCAAGCTGCTCTGCCTGTGCCTCCTCGCAGCGCTCCTCGGCTACTACATCTACAGCCCGCTGCCCCAGGACCTGGCCGAGCCCTGGACGGTGATGCTCGTCTCGGCTGCCTTCAGGGCCGTGGGGCACCTGGTGAGGTGGAGGGGGCCGGGAGGGCAGAGCTGCGGCCGGGGGGGTTCTCGTGCCTCTGGGGCTCAGGGGACACGCGTGTCCCGCCGCGTGTGTCCCACGGCTGCGGTGTCACACTCACTGAGGGACAGGAGGAGCTGAAGTGAGGCACTAAACTGACTGTGATAGAAAGAAATGTAGAAAAGATTTGATCTTGCAGCCTTGAGAAAGGGCTGTTCAGGGCAACGAGTGAGATGTGGGGTGTGCCTGTGGATCGACAAGCACAGACAAGTTTCTCTGGCTTTCCAGTCCTGTGCGCTGCTCCCTGACTCATCCCCGATTCCTGTCCCCGGCTCCCTGGCAGCACTGGCTATCGGCGGGGGAGGACTAGAGCAGCTCTCACATTCTATTGATTTTTGTGGTTTCATGGAAATCCTCTGACAGAATAACCCCCACAAAACAGCATGTCTATGTGAGACAGCCCTTTTTGGCAAGGGCTACCTCTTTAGGGCTGTCCAATCTGCAGGAGGAGGGAGGATGAGGAGTTTTTTGGGGTGTGTCAGGGACCCCTGTTGTGATTTCAGGGGTTGAGGCAGTGGAAGATGATAGTGGTGAGAAAGCAAGAAGCTGTAGCCTGCGGTGTTGGTGTGCTGCCTTGCTGCTTCCCCTCCTGAATGCCCTGCTGGAGGGAGCCTGCAAGGGGGGCAGCTCATTGTCCAGGCCCGCCTGCTGCCCGCTCGGTCACACTGTCACCTCCCTCGCCTCAGCACGGCACTGCCGGCAGCAGGAGCGTCCTGTCCGTGCAAGGACCGTGTGTTTTCCCTGCAGGATGGAGCTGTGCCCGCGGTGCCTGTTGTCCTGTCCGTGCAAGGACCGTGTGTTTTCCCTGCAGGATGGAGCTGTGCCCGCGGTGCCTGTTGTCCTGCCTGCCTGGGCACAGCGGGGCTGTGGGCAGGCGTTTTGTAACTGGACTCTCATCTCCTGTGAAACCACAGTCCCAAGGGACGGACACAGCCACAGCGTCCCCGGAGCTGCACTGAATGAGATTTACGTGGCTCTAAATTGTCCGAAGTGTTGGACAGCAACCCGGGATGGCTGCCCAGTTACAGGGCAGTGACTCGCGGTCACTCAGGGCAGGGCTGTGTTTGCAGACCCAGGTCTGGTTTTCCGAGCTCCCTGATGCTGGTTTGAGCAAAGGGAACAAAGCGCCACCCTCGAGCGTTCCTGAGCAGTGGAATCCTGTCCAGAAGGGTGTGCCAGGAGCACAGGGCACGGCACATCTCCGTCCCCTGGGCTGTGGCAGGTCCTGGGGAGCCCCAGCCCAGCAGCTGCCTGTGCTGAGTCCCTTGGTGGCCGCTCTGTGCAGCAGGGAGCCTGGCAATGTCTCCCTCGGCTGTGGATGCTCATGTGCTGTGTCCGTGCTGCCAAGGTGGGGAGCAGCCTCTGGGAACAGATCTGCCGCTTGCTGTGGTGTCAGCCCTAAATCCCTCGAGTATTTAAGGAAGGGCCCCCCACGCTTGGTCTGAAACGCCTGCAGAAAGTACAAAACACAGCACGATGCTTTTGCTGTCGCTGTGTGACGTTCCCCAGAGCCCCCTCCCTCCTCAGGCAGCTCCGTGGCAGCAGCAAAGGCCAGAGCCGGGCCCCGCTCTGCCCGTGCCCATGGGGAGCGGCCCCCGAGCTGCTGCCCCTCTGCAGGCTGAGCTGCTGGGAGCCACAGCCGGGCTCCCTTCCCTCTCCCTGGCCTTCGGAGGGTCTGTCCTTGCTCCTCACTGCAAGGGGGGTGCCTGGGGAAAGCGCTTTCCAGAGCACAGGGATCCCAAACCCCAAAGTGCTGCCTTTCCTGATCCGTAACACCCAATAATCTCACACCGGGACAAAGAGTGATTTTCAGATGAGGGCACCATTTCCTTTTATTGATAATGGCCTGGAAATTGCAGGCAGCAGCCCTGTGGCTTTCCACAATGTAAATTGTCCACTTGTGGAAAACACAGCTCTGGGAGCACTGGAAATCCTCAGTGCTGGGGCTCAGGGAAATCCTCCCACCGCGGGGCTTTCTCAAGCTCATTGCAGTCACAGCGGGACTCACTTTCACTGAGATATTTGTTTTTTCAAGATGTTAATCCTTGGGGGAAAAAGCAACAACTGAGAAATGTTTATGCAAATTGTGTCAATGTTGTGTCTAAAACGGCAATTCTGGCACCTGTATTTATTTGTTTTCATGGAGCTGATGGCAAGGACCTGTGTTTCCTTTTGCCACGTGCCAGCGTGTGATTTAAAACCACAACATAGTGCCTGCCCACTCATCTCCATCCCAATTCCAGCACGCTGGGATTGGCAGGGCTCCTCCTGGCATTGCGCTCCAAGCCTTCAGAGAGAGGTGACTCAAAAATGTGGTGACAATCCCTGTCAAAGACTGCCTGCAAGGGCTGAGCTGTGTGCTATTCTAGCTCCTGAAACAGAAGGTTATGTCATGGAATCCCAGAATCCCAGACTGCTTTGAGTTGGAAAAGATCTTAAATTTCATCTCATTCCAGCCTCCTGCCAAGGTCAGGGACACTTCCATTAGACCAGGTTGCTCAAAAGCTGCTTATATGTAGATGGTGATTAAACAGTTGATTTAAATACAATTTTAAGAAAAGCAAATACAACAGGCAGGGTCAGACTGTGTGCCTGCACACCATCACAGCCTGAAGTCTAGAGCTTACACCAGCAGAGGAGCAGTTACAGCATGGGGCTCCCACATTGTTCCAATAAAGCATCTCTTGGAAGCCAGACTTCAAACAGGTTCTGCACCAGGCTTGGATACTTTCTTTTAAAACTCAAACCTGCTCTGAATTTCATCTGGTTTTACCTTCAGATAACATGTAAGAACTTGGCTTTATTTCTTATTGTTTCAATTGTGATGTGATGAGGCTGGGGTGGGAAGAGGGTCATGTCCCACGGCCAGGGGTGGTGGTGGAGGAGCCGTGGTGCTGGTGCTGGCAGCAGTGCAGGAGCTGTGGGTGGCTGTGTGCAGTGTGTCCCTGGGCTGTCCCCACAGCAGGCAGTGTGTCCCTGGATGTCCCCACGCCAGGGTGGTGGCAGGAGCTGTGGGTGGCTGTGTGCAGTGTGTCCCTGGATGTCCCCACGCCAGGGTGGTGGCAGGAGCTGTGGGTGGCTGTGGGTGGCTGTGTGCAGTGTGTCCCTGGGCTGTCCCCACAGCAGGCAGTGTGTCCCTGGGCTGTCCCCACAGCAGGCAGTGTGTCCCTGGATGTCCCCACGCCAGGCTGCTGGCAGGAGCTGTGGGTGGCTGTGTGCAGTGTGTCCCTGGATGTCCCCAGGCTGCTGGCAGGAGCTGTGGGTGGCTCTCTGTGCCCGTGCTGGTGCTGGTGGGTCGCTGGGCTGGGCACTGGGCTGTGAGGTGACCCCAATAAGAGTGAGCAGGTGTCTGGGAGCAGCAGGGAGCAGCAGCCCTGGCTCTGGCCGTGCTGGGCAGCCGGTGGCAGTGTCAGAGCGTGTCACAGAGCGCTCCTCGCACCGCCGGGCTCGGATGGATGCGCTCTGCTGCTGTCCTGACTCCTACAGCGACTTGTGCAGGGCATTGCAGGCTGCACGGGATTCAGTCCGACAGTAAAGACGGCTGCACTTGCAGGAGTTTCCCCTTCTCTTGTGCTTTAGTCGGAGGCGGCCGAGCTGCTGGGGCTGATGCACTACATGGAGAGCTTGAGGCTGATCACGGTTGTCGAGCTGGTCGCTCCCACCTCCGATGAGAACGTCACTGTGACAGAGACAGAGTTCGAGCAGGTCCCCGTGCGCCTGTACCTGCCCAGGAGGGCAGCCGGGGGGCTCAGGAGGGCCATGCTCTACTTCCACGGCGGCGGCTGGTGCCTGGGAGACGCAGGTGAGCTCTGCTCCATCACTGCCCGGTCTGTGCTGGCATCTCAGCAGCCCTGCCGGGCGCTGCCCTTTGTGTCCCGGCAGCTGCCACAGGGAGGGAGGGACAGGGGACCGCTGTGGCACCGGATAAAAGCAGGGGAGGCTTGGGGAAGGCAGCTGAAGCTGCTGCCCAGAGGAGCCGGCAGTTCTGGGCGTGTGTCCGTTCTCACACGCACTGGGCTCTCATTTCAGGCATGCACGGCTATGACTACATGTCACGGAGGATTTCAAACGAGCTAAATGCTGTCGTGGTGTCAGTCAAGTAAGATACATTCTCCTTCCAGATGGCATGAGGGTTTGGAGTAAATTAATCTGTTTCAATGAATCGGATTTTTCAATGTTTCTGTATTTGGTCACTTTCCTGCTGATTTATTCTGATTTATTTATTCTGTATGTGGTGCTTTCCTGCTGATTTATAAACATTTGTGAAGAGAGGCTGCCAGGGTGACAGTGGGGAATTGTGGTTGGTGGCTACTTTGGCTTTATGAAGATGGGTGGATAACAAAGTGTATCCTCTGGGATGGCCAGTTCCCAGCTCTCTGGGCACAGGAGAAATAATTCTCTTTATTAACAGCAGGCACTAACACGCTTCTCTTGCCTCCACCAGCTACAGGCTGGCCCCTCCGCACCGTTTCCCCGCCCAGTTTGAAGATGTGTACGTGGTGACCAAGTTCTTCCTCCAGAGCGAGGTCCTGGCCCAGTACGGGGTGGACCCTGCGCGGGTCTGCGTGGCCGGGGACAGCGCCGGGGGCAACCTGGCTGCGGCCGTGGCACAGCAGGTACAGCAGAAATGGTCTGCAAGCTCAGAATCAGTATTCTTGTCATTTCACAACTGCTAAGAGAAGCTCAGCTCCCAGCACAGGCTGGTCTGTGCACACAGAATGTCACAGGGCACCGGGGACCAGGCGAGCGACTGTGCCTGAGCCCCTCGGTGACATCGGAGGGCTTGGCTGCCATCCGGACATCTGACCCCTAAAAAAGGCTCTCTGCCCTCTAGCTGGGGCATCCATCACTCTGACCTCAAGCTCATGTTGACTGGTTTAGGTGTGATGTTTGAAAAGGGAATTTTAACTATGTGACTCCTAAAGATGTAAATAGCAGGGAAAACAAACAAACAAAAAAACCCTCACCAAATGTTGCAGTGTCTGATCACAGTCTGGTGCCTCTTGCACTTCTCCTTCAGCTTTATTAAATAAAGTCAACACGGTGTTGTTGCTCTCTTGAGGAGCTGTCTGGACTGCAATGAAACACTGGGAATGGTGGTGAATTTGCTGAGGATGCTGAAGGCAAAAGATGAGGGAGAAAATGGAAAATTTATTAGTGAAGAGGGGAAAAGACTGACATATAAAAAAATGTCAGTTCATCACATTTTATTTGTTACATCTCTAAGATGCACAGAATTGCTATTGCTTGTGTTGTAACATCTCAGGGTTAAAAACCAAACAGATGAGCGTGCTCTAAATTGTGTGAAATGATAAGGAGACCCAGAAACCTGAAAGTTTCATGATGTATGAATGGAAATTTTCTGAATCTATAGAAAATCTTCTGTCATACTTCAGAAAGCATCAAAATTGCAGAAAGTATTTCTCAAAAGTAATTATCCTTCAATATAAGAAATAGAATTAAATTATATTTTATGTTTGAGAATTTTTATTACAGCATACTGTTGATGACCTACCTATAGGTTCAGAATTTCTTAATCCTGGTTTTATTGATAATCTTATTTTGCTCAGGTTGCAAAATGCACGTTTTAATTCTTTACCTCAGGTGACCTGTCAGCGTGGGAGAACCGACACCTTTACTGATGCTTTGCAATGGTTTCTGGTTTTTTCTACAGCTGTCGGAGGACCCTGAAGTCAAAACGAAGCTCAAAGCTCAAATTCTGATCTACCCGGCTCTGCAGGCCCTGGACCTGAATCTGCCGTCCTACCGAGACAACGCCGACAAGCCGATCCTGTCCAGGTCGCTGATGGTCAGGTTCTGGAGCGAGTATTTCACGTCGGAGCCCGCTCTCAGGGAGGCCATGGACTCCAACAGGCACGTCCCGGCCGAGTCCAGCCACCTGTTCCAGTTTGTGAACTGGAGCCGCTGGCTGCCCGCGGAGATGAGGAAGGCTCACGCGTACGGCGGCCCCACGCCGGGCGGAGCGGAGCTGGCGCGGAGGTTCCCCGGCTTCCTGGACCCGCGGGCGTCGCCGCTGCTGGCCAGCGAGGCCCGGCTGCGCCACGTGCCTCCCGCCTACATCCTGACCTGCGAGCACGATGTGCTGCGCGACGACGGCATCATGTACGCGGAACGGCTCCGCGCCACCGGCGTGCCCGTCACGCACCACCACGCCAAGGATGCCTTCCACGGCGCCGTCACCTTCCTCCTGTGGCCGTTCAAGCTGGCCGTGGGCCATCGGCTGTTCGACGCCTGCCTGGACTGGCTGAAGGAGCACCTGTGAGCGGGAAATGGAGCCCACCCGCCCGCCAGCTGTGGCTGGGGCCACGGAGCCGGGCTGGATTTGGTTCCGTCTCCCTTGCAATTCCCACAGTGTAGGGGCTGGAGCGTGTCCCACCTTCTCTGGCAGGAAATCAGCCTGATCCCGACCTGCATGTTCTCCCGTGCTGTCCTCTGAACTTCAAACCCCAGACTGCCAGCACTGCCCTGGGGCTCCTCTTCTGGCCTGCAGCCTCTGGGATCTGGTGTTTTGTCTCTGTTGCTGCTTCTTTCTCCCTGTCACAGCAGCCTCAGACCGGCGCGTGTGCCGAAGGGCCGGGTCGCTGTGGGACACGGGACGCGCTCTCTGGCTGCTGTCCTGTGTCCCCTTTGGCTCTGAGGGATGTGGCAGCAGGGCTCCTGCTGCCGGGGGTGATGGGGTGAACAGAAGCACCGGGAGGCTGCAGGAGGCTGGAGGGACCTGCCCATCCAGGCTGGGCTGGGGCTGCTGTTCCTGCCCTGCACAGCTTGAGGGAAACACTTGGAAACCCTGTGGGATGGCTGAAAAATTGTGCAAGTGTTTTAGGCTTTGTTTGTTTGTTTTGGGGGTTTTGTTTATTTGGGGTTTTTTGGTGTGTTGTGGGTTTTCCTTAAAGCACATCTCTTTTTCCTACTTCCTTTCTTTAATCCTTGAACTAGCAGGAAATAGTGAAGCAAACCAGCACTGGATATTCACTGGAAAAAGGAAGCTGTGAAGGTCCCAGCCTTACGTTAACACTGCTGCATGGTCTGTGCTCCACTTACCTGTTAAGTCATGTACTAGGTGTTCTATTGTCCTTAATATTGTTCATCAGATTCTACATATGTTTTCTTATAATCTAGAATTAGCTTAGTAGCTTTATAGGCTTGAAAAAGAAACATGGTTCAGCTGGCTGTGTGGAACAAAAAACCTCTGTGTAAATGTTCTGTGTGTTAAATAGAAACCCTAAAATTTTTGACTGAGGCATGAATGCAGGGGTTGGCTGTTGGTTTAAGCAAATCAAACACTGAGCAGGTACTTCACGTATCCTGCTTTTCTTTTGCATAAAAGGTACTGAATCTTCAATAATTCTGGGTTATTTTTCCTGAGCGTGTGCAGCCTGTTCAGATGGAATGCGTACGGGATGATTGCTGTTTTCCATCTTTACTAAGCTGGGTATAAACATTAAACCTGGTTTTGATTCCAGTGCAGTGTGTTTTGTCGCTCAGGTGTCTGGTTCGTGGACAGGGCAGGTGTGCTGAAGCCCCAGGTGTCAGCCCTGCTCCCACTGCTGGCAGGGGCTGTCGGGGAGGGAGGCAGCACTGCTTCTGTAGGTCTCTCTTTGCACCTTTGCACAACCTCTGGGTGCACATCTGGGCTCATCTGCTCAATCCCAGAGTGTTTGGGAATTACTCCTCGGGTCTCCCTGCAGCTCTGCCAGCACATCCCAGTGCTCCAGTCTGCTGGCAGAGGCAGTTGTGCTGCAGTTTTATTCCTCCCACATCTGGAATTAATTAACAGCCTCTTAGTGTTCCTGAGGAAGTTGGGCTTTGGGGTTTTGCTCAGTAACTCCTTTGGTCTGGTTTTCTATACAGTTCTAGGGTCATGTCCACAAGAATGTTCCCTGGGATGGGCATCTCTGGGTTGTGAATGCTAATGGAATGAGCCCAGCTGGGGTTTCCAGGAGGACAGCCTTGCTCAAGAGACTGCTTGGCCAGGATGGTTGTTTTTGATTTGGAGGGGACATGCCCACTTCACATCCCTCAGCAGGTTGCCCTGCTGTGACCCAGACTGGCTTTGGTTTTTCTCCTGCCCTGCAGCTCTGGGATGTTGCTGGTAGAGCAGCACTGGGCTGAAGTGTTGGGGTCAGGTGGCTTTGCCTCGCTCCAGGGGTGCTGGAGGTGCTGTGCCAGCCCAGCTGGAGCAAACCTGGGCCACCCTCCCTGCCCACGCTGCCACCAATATCGTGTTTCCTCAGGCATCAGCTGTGTCAGGGACACTGAACATCTGTCTGTGAGGCAGAAGAAAAAATTATGTTCTAAGCAACAATGCCAGCCAGAAATTGCCAACCTTCCGTTGTGTGTTTTTATAGGATTCTCTTGGAACCAGAAGTAAATGGCTTTTAAGTACCAGCACCTAAATATGGACTCATGATTGATTGGGCTGTATGTTTTTGTTTAGGTTCTTAAAATAGACTTTTGGGATTGGAAGTGCGTGGTGAGGCACAAAATGAGACACTGAAAGCTGCACTATTGATGTTGCTGGCAGGAGAGGCTGGAGCTGCAGTAAACAACCCATTTATCCACACCAGAAAACAAGACAAACCACCACAAGGGAAGGCTTTGGTACTCCTCCAAAAGCCTTCCCTTGAAGGGAGAATGGGATTTGGTGGTTGACAGTCAAGGACAAAGCTCAGGCTCCTGTTTGGAGCCAGATCTGGGTGCAGAGATCAAACCCTCCAAGGGTGCCCAAGCACAGGGAGACTGATCACAGACTCTCCTAGCACAGGGTGCACTGGTAGGTGCATGAAGAGAACGGGGTTCCTGCTTGCAAGTGAGTCAAGGAGGAAATGAGGCATCCTCGAAGTATCCCCAGCAATCCGGGCTTCCCCATTACCCATTTCTGAAAAACCCTTAACGTTTTGTTGAAGTACCACACTGGTTAAAAAAACCAAAAAATCCCCAACAAACCACCCTCAAAACCCCAGACCCTGGGACCTGCCCATGCCCTGGTGTTCCTGGTGTTTCTGGAGGCGTTGGTCGAGCTGTTCTTGCTGTGCTGTGTGCTCAGCCGGGCCCTCGCTCCCGGGAAGGGCTCGGGGAGGGTCCCAGCGCTGCCCTCGCAGCTTCCCCCTCCCGATTCCTTCTGGTTCCTCACGCTGACCCTGGCTGGAGCCCCCCAGCAGGACCCAGCCTGCTGTGCCAGCAGCTGCCTGGCACCAAGTGCTCCAGAACCACAGAGCCTGCTGCTGGGACCCCCAGCTCAGGGGTTTCTCAGGGACAGGGCTGATGAAAGGCAATGGAATTACAGGTACCAGCGTGTGTGACTGGGACAGCCTCAAAATAACTAAGGGTTAGAAAACTGTTGAGAGGTACAATCAACTGATGTGATAGTCACAGAGCTGTAAAGCAGGGACCAATCTAAACCTACTGAAATGGCATTAAGGAGCAGTTCTTGCTCCCTCACCAGTTTTCTGAGGAGTTACTGCAGCAGGAAGGAAGAAATGCTCCATTTGTTCAGCCCTATTTTATCCTTCAATGCAACAGCAGCTGCCTGAATGAACAAGATATTTAAAAGCTGGTAAATGAGAAGCCAGTGTTGGTTATTAGCCATGGGGGAAATTTTAAATCAGCTTCTGTAATGCCTAAATATGAGTTGATTTATTTGCCTTGTCCCCCAGAGAAAAGCTGCAGTAGCTTTTTATATGTATTAATAGGGTTAATATTTGCTAACTTTGAAGTACATCACAATAAAGGGGAGGGGGGAGGAAGGTAGAGAAGCTGTGGCTGCCCCATACCCGAGGATGTTCAAGGGCAGGTTGAATGGGGCTTGAAGCAGCCTGGTCTAGAGGAAGGTGTCCCTGCCCATGGCAGAGGGGTGGAATAAGTCTCTGTGGGGTTTGGTCCCTCTGCATTAGCAGCATTAATTGTGTTTTATCTTTGCCAATGACTGATGTAGCAATGCTGGGCAAGGCAGCGAGCTTTGGAGCGGAGATGCGCTGCTGCCTGAAAACGAAGGCTCCTCTTCCCACCGGCTGTGCCCTCCCGCAGGCCCTGGCTGTCTCAGGGCATGGGGTGGGAGCAGTGGGTGCCTTCTCCCTCCCAGCTGGTTTCCCAGTGGCTTCCTGTGAAGGGGAAGTGTTGTTTGCATCTCGACAGCTCAGCAAACAGATCCCGCCTTCGCCTGGCCCCGTTGCTGACCGAGCCGGGCGCGCAGGCGGCAGCCGGGATCCCACAGCTCTGCCGGGACCACAGCACCACGGCCCTGGCCATGGTAAGGGCTCCAGTGCTGGGCAGCCTCTTCTGTCCTCTACCAAGCCCATTTCTGAGTGTGCTTCTAACTGCTTTACCTTCTTACCTTAATAGTGATCCATCAGCCTTTTCCTAACAACTTGCTAAATTAATGGATCTGTCCACGCCAAGCTTTAAATTACTATTGCTGTTTAAAGTGCTAATGTCCATGGTGTGCTCTCCAGATTTAGCATCTGTCTAAGGTGTTGGGTTTCTCCTCAAGAGCAGACAGGGCTCGGCAGGTGCAGCAGGTGGGGTCTGAGCAGAGCGAGCGCTCTCTGTGGCATTTCTGTCTCCTGGGGGCACAGAGTACATACAGAGACTCGATGGAAACAGCTTTATGAAGTCTTTGTTCTGCCTCATGATCTCCCTTGGGAATGAAATACAGTGCTTTGAGGGCAGAGACCTGTGAACAAGTTCTTGACACTGAAACACCTTTGGAAATGCTTAACCTCAGCCCGAGTTTAGTTTTGATCTATATCCCTGTTTCTGGCATTTGGTTTTCCCTGCTGTCCAATTGTTTGCTGACCCTGTATCCAAGGCTCTCACAAAGGCTGTCGGTGTCCTGCAGCAGGGGCAGGTGGCTTTGCTGAGGCGGGAGAGGAGTAAAAATTTGAGATCCTGCTCTATTTCCTTTCCTGAAAGCATTTCTTGAACCAGCCTTTGGGGAGAAAGCGAGCTCATGTGTGCTGCAGCTTCGAAGAAAGCTTTGGCAGAACGCACAGACGGGCTCCATGCTCCGTGCAATGTTACCAGCACAGCACACAAAGTGCTCGCTTAAGGGCTGGGTTAATTTAACAAACACATCTCTCCTGGCTCCTTGAGAACTCCCTGAGGAGTTCTGAGCAGGGTTCATCCCTCACCAGCCTTGTCAGCAACCCTCTGCCCCAGTGACGGGGGAGGAACACGGGACTGGCCTTGGGTAACAGGCAGACGACTCCACGAGGCGCTGACAGGGCACCCACGGGCTGGTTTCACTTTCCTGGCCCCTGGAACTGCCCTGGCTTTGGCCAAGCAGCGGCTGGCACGTTGTGACTGCCACCTTCATCCAGGTGATGTTCCCACTTCCCCACACAGCTCTTTGCTGTGCAGTTTTCATCTTGTTCTGTACCTGCTCAGTGTCTGCAAGTACCAATCCTGTGTGTGAGAGACATTGTTTGAGGTCACATATCCTTACCCTGTAGGCTGGAAGGAAATAGCATTCACTGATTACAGCAATGATATAACAATAACTCTGCAATGCACTCTTTTACTTGGGTTTGGTGTTTATTTTTTTCCTTTTGATTTTCCAGGTTATGAATGAGACCAGTGAGTGTTTTCTGACAAACAGAGTACTAGAAAAATATTATCTCTCCACCATGTACACCCTTGAGTTCATTTTAGGTGCCATTGGAAACACCATTGTGGTGTTTGGCTATATTTTCTGCCTGAAAAAATGGAAAAGTGGCAACATCTACCTGTTCAATTTATCCATATCAGATTTGTTATTTCTCTGCACTCTGCCAATACTGGTGAACAGCTACTCCCAACATCAGTGGGCAAAGGAGGGCATGCTGTGCCACAGCAACAGGTTCCTGCTGCATGCCAACCTGTACAGCAGCATCCTCTTCCTCACCGCTATCAGCGCTGACCGCTACATGCTCATCAAGCACCCCTTCAGGGACCACGTCCTGCAGAGGAGGAGAACAGCTCTTATGGTGTCCATTGCCATATGGATTGGGGTGATCCTGGAGCTGCTGCCACTGGTGCATTTCCTGGAGCCTCCAACTCCCACCAGCAATTACAAATGTCTTGATTACGCGAGCTCTGGAGACCCCGTGAGAAACCTCATCTACAGCATGTTCCTGACTGTCTTCGGTTTCCTCATTCCTCTCCTGACCATGTGCTGCTTCTACGTGAAGATGGTTCGTTTTCTTAAAAACAGGAGCGAGCAAATCAGCTCTGCCCTGCCCCTGGAGAAGCCCCTTACCCTGGTGATCCTCACCATGGTTATCTTCTCCCTGCTCTTCACTCCCTACCACGTCATGCGCAACGTCCGGCTCGCGTCCCGAATTCCGGCCTTGAACGTCTCTGAGTGCACGCAGGGAATCATCAGCACCATTTACATCATCACGAGACCCTTTGCCTTTCTGAATAGTGCCATTAATCCTGTTTTTTATTTCCTAATGGGTGACCAGTTCAGGGAGATGCTGATGG